TCTGTCTACTCATCTATGCAGGTGACATCACTTTTTCATCAGCCAGTCACCTGAATTATTACTTTCTCCAGTCCTAGCTTGATTGCTCTCTTAAGTGCAGTTCTCCATCCACAGCACTTTACCATGGGGCTTCACTGTCATCTGTGATGTTCTGCTTCTTGACTTACTGCTTTGGTGTGAGGCCCTGTGGGAGGAGAAGAGGAGGAGCTGAAGAAGGGATGGTATGCACCAAAGGAGAAAAAGAGTATCCACTTTTGCAGCTAGGCTCTTTATAATGTCATACTCTGAACCAAAGCCAATTGTTTTCCTTCTGACAGAAGAAATGCTGAGAATGTTTTTATTTTACTGCACAGTTGTCAAATTCAAGAAGCATTTAAGATGCTAGAATGTAATGTTATATTCAATATGCTTAATAAAATTGTAATGGATTCACTTATTTTGACACTGAAAGAAATAGCCTCCTACTGGCCAATAGAAATTATGATGCTTTTGTTGCATCTATCAACACAAAGGGATGTGGGAAGCCTATCAGAGCTGATTACAGTCACTCTGGAACTGCTTTTAAAAATAAAATGGGAACTAGGAATTGGTAGTTACAATGTCCCTCCCCCTTCCCTTCGAGGAGGCTCATATGTGTGAATGAACTCTAGGACTAAGCTTTAGAAGGCCTGACTGGCAGAGGCTACCAGAACTGAGGCAGGAAGAATTGGTTTCTCAGAAACTGTCTCTTGTGGCTGAAAAGCATGGAGAGCACAACAGTAAGGGCCTTAAAAAGGGAAAGAGAATTGTTTAATGGGTTTAACTCTTTGGAGGAAGGAGCTGGAAGTAGTGGCAGAAACCAACGTCCCTGTTTTTCTTTTCCTGACATCCATGCACAACATGCTCTGTGTGTTCATTCTTTGCAGGGTGAATAGGCCTGAAATGGTGTGATGTTAATGTTTCCTCTTGACTGCTGTTCCTACCTCTCAACATCACTCTTGACTGCTTATTTAAGTGGGAAAAGCACAGGGGTCTGCTAACATCCTAAGAATAAGCCTGAAGTTATCCAATTTCCCGACTATGGCTTAGTCCTCTTATAATAGTTTCCTTTTCCTTTCATGTCTCAATAGAGAGAAAACATTTTAGTCTAGCCAGCTTAATTTCATCCAAGTTGTTTCATCAGAAATTGGGGCTAATATTTCACTGAACTTCTGAAATGCACTTAGAGAAGCTGAAGATTCATTGCTTTAGTCTTAGAGAGGTAGTTTAACTGGCAACATTTCTATGCTAACATTTCTACATCTAAGTTGTCAAGAAGCCCTTTCTGACTTGAGTCATTGTGGAAGCCTTATTAGCTTAACTTTTTATGTTCTTGCACAAACATGAAAAAGATTCCAATAAAAAAAGAAATGAATCTGATATTTTAGTGCACCCTGTAATCCCACCACCTTAGTGTCCCAAAGCAGGAGGATTGTGAGTTTGAGGACAGTCTGGGAAACATCTGTAATATTATTGTTATCATAAAAAGAAACAATACTCTTGCATCATCAATGATGTTCCTACCAATACTTACCCCACTCCCTTTTAAAGGCGTTTGTGTTTTCCTCAGTTCAAAATTCTTGGGGAGCCTTACAATAATCTTAAAATGTTGAAAATATTGTTTTTTTTTTTTTTTTTTTTTTTTTTTTTTTTTTTTTTTTTTTTTTTTTTTTTTTTTTTTTTTTTTTTTTTTTTTTTTTTTTTTTTTTTTTTTTTTTTTTTTTTTTTTTTTTTTTTTTTTTTTTTTTTTTTTTTTTTTTTTTTTTTTTTTTTTTTTTTTTTTTTTTTTTTTTTTTTTTTTTTTTTTTTTTTTTTTTTTTTTTTTTTTTTTTTTTTTTTTTTTTTTTTTTTTTTTTTTTTTTTTGGTACCGAGGATCTAACTTGGGACCTTGAGCTTGTGAGACAGGCAGTGTAACCACTGCATTAAATCCTTGGCTCTGAGAATATTGTCTTTTAACAACTGCGAAACTGGAAAGCAGGAATCCACAATGCAAGTGAAACATATATGAGGACAATTCAAGCCCTCAGGGACACTGAACACCTCCCTTGGACTGCTTGGCTTTGTTAGTTGCTTTCCTTATATACCTTTGGCCTCTATTTGGATATGCTGTGTTCCTTCTTTAACTTTGCACAACTCCAATGTGTAGCACTGGCAGAGCCAGCTTTCCTCTTCTTTCTCATTAGTTTCCCAGTTCTTATCTGTAGGAGGCCACTGTCTTTTAGAGAATGGCTGATTTGAGCTCTAGGAAGGATTCCACTCCAGTTTACTTCATCAGATTCTCTTGTCTTTCCCTGCAGTATGACGCAGCAGGAAGTACCTGGGTGTATTTCAGAGTTGAACGGACCTACATTTTAATCCCAGCTCCACTACTTACTGACACGGTCTTCTCTGGCAGGTTACTTAACCTGTGTGTTGTTCCATTTTATAACCCATTATGTGAGCATAGTAACATTTTATTTTGTGTAATTCTTATGTGGAATAATTTATGTAATAATTATAAAGGGCCTAGGACAGCACCTGCTAGATTCTTAATGCTGAATTCTGTATTAGCCACTTTTCTATTACTGGGGAAAAAATAGCTAACATCTGAATCTTAAAGGAGGGGAGGTTCGACTCATGGTTTTACAAGTTTCAGTTCATAGTTGGCTGGCTCCAAGTTGGAAAGGCATAACAGTCAGGAAGAAGAGACAAAAGGGAGGATCTGGGGACAAGGATACTGTGCCTTTCCAAGTCAGACAGCCAGGGACCCCACCTCTTTGGACCCAGCCCCACCTTTGAGCAGCACATTCAGCCTTGATTAATCCACTGCTGAGTGTAGCACACACATGATGCAGTCACCTTCTAAAAGTCGAAGCCTCTAAACACATGACACTTTTGGGGGACATTTGGAACCCAAACTGTAACAGTGCCCTTCCCCTCCAGCTAGCTCCTGCTTGCCCCCTCAGGACTACTTTACCATAACCCTATCTCAAAATGCTTGCAAGGTCAAAAATACTTTGTACTGTACATATGGAAGAGTAACTCTAGCAGAGAAAAGACAAAGTATTTTCCACACGAGTTTACCTTTTAAAAATGACGTAACAAATGTCTTAGAGCATGAACAAGCATCATTCTGCAAATCCTATTTCTTATAATAAAGTAATGAGAGAATTTAATACTACTAATATTTTACTTCGGTCTTTCTGTCTGATCTCTGATTTCTTTAAAGCCTAAAGATGTCAGTCCAGTTATATTTGAATGTTTATTGCGGAAAAAGTTTTTAGGGATAGCGCTGTGTTTTAGTATTCCTTTTATTCTAGAACCCAGAAAAAGACTTTTTAGATGCTCAAATAAATGTTTGTTGAACAAATAATTATTAGATATAATTTTGTGAACGTATTAAAGTTCAATTATTTAATATTCAAATAATATTCTGCTATCAAATTTTTGCTGGAGCTGGATTTCACTAGTTCATGCATAGTAACCAGATTTGGGGTGTTCATTTTAGGGCGTGGGAAGTAGTCAGAGAGAGGTAGTGTGATTGGCTTCACCATTTCCATTTTCCTCTTTTTGCTTTTGTTGTCTCTCATCTCTCCTTACTAGACTATGAAGTGCTTGAGGACAGAAACTATATTTACCTTTGATGTCATCATATGTAATTTCTTACTGCTTGTGGCACTGTTGATATTTAGTAAATATTGATTGCATGGATGAACAACGGAAACATGAAAGATGTTTCTATTTGTGGGGGTTTTATGATTTTGGAAAGGAGGCATCCTTTAATCTCTTCCCATCTACTCTGATTTATATCTGTCTCCTTCATAGCTCTGTTTCATCAAGCTTCCCTGGATTTACTGTTCTTTAATCCCATTCTTTTAAATGCCACATGATTTGTGAAAAGGATTTAGGAATTTAAATTTTAAAAACATGGAGTTTAAATTCTAGATCCATCATTTGCTGGTTTATGAACTTCGGTAAAGTAGATAACCCTTGATACCTGTTGAATCATCTGTGAGGATAAATAGCAGTGGATCACTTACCTGGTATGGCTGTTTTAAAACTTATGATATAAAGTAACTGCTCTTTGAAAGGGCTGTATACATAGTTGGTATTTTTACTGTCCTTATTTTAATTCTCTGACTATTCCAATTACTATTTCATTTTAGTATCGAAGACATGGGTTTATAACCTTGGCTATCTGTTAGCAGCCCCAGGAGCTGGTGGGAAATGGAATATTGTGAACGTTCACAATCTCACTTCACTGGGAGCCTTATATTATTTTGAACATTGATCAAAACCTTAATAAGAGTAGCCACACTGTCTCATTAAAATAATACACGTATAAATGTGAATTTTTCACAGAAAATCCCCACATTATAAAGCAAAGAGTTGGATACTATGTCTTTAAATTTATGGTTTTTTTATTGTCTCCCTCTCCATTTATTATGATTTCAAGAGTACTCTCACAGCAGAACTGTTATCCCTGGTAGATTTAAAGACTACTTTCCCAGTATTTTTTCTTGGAATTATTGAATTTGCTGGAATAAACTATTCAGCTCAATATTTTTCATCTCCTTCTAATATAAATATATTTGATTCCTATAAATCTGAGTGAGGTCAGTCAGGAAATTATACATATTTTCTTTCTACAGGGTATATGAGCTATTAAGTCATGTTGCATTTATTATAGATCATGTTTGCTAGTTGGCAAGATAATCTGAATGATTGAAAGCACTATTTTCAAGCACATTGCACCAAGAAAACAATCAGAAAGGAGAACTGAAGCAGTGTTTCTTATGATAAATACTCAAAGTAAAATATTCTGTTGTGATTCAACCTCACACTCACACACACATATCCACAATATCTCATCCTGTATATGTATAATGTTCATTCTTATAGTACATGTTTGTATTTTTTCATATTTATGTCACTTAGTTTTTAAAATTTGGACCTTATATAATCTGTGTTTATTTTGCTATTGCATCTTCCAGCGTCAAGTATGTGGATGTTTTCTTGGCTCTGCACCACTTTAATTATTTTGGCTATTGCTGTTATGGAGGCAGCAGCAAAGACCACGCCATATACCAAATTTACAAAGAAGTCTGAGGGGAAAGAGACGCCAAAAGATATAAAAGTGTCTAGTGGCTCACCTCAGGAAGAACAGGAAACTCTGCTCACAGAGACAGCCGCGCTGATAGAACCCACCACGGACCCTGCCACCTTGGACTCTGACTTTCCCATATCCACTCTGCTTCCCTTTGGAAATTTCAATCTCGACACAGTTCATTACTTTTTGAATTGTTGTCGTTGCTGTTCACTTGTTGCTGGGGAGAAAGGAGAACCAGGAAAGACTGGAAAACCAGGTATTTGAAAATATATGAAGCCAAGTTTTTCATTTGTACATCCTTAGAGAGGGGGATTGGGGAGTGCATTGCTCCAGGGGTTTTCACAGTCATTCAAAGGGTGACATTTAACAAATGCAAAAGGGTGCTGTGCTTTCCAGTGTGGTAGCCACAGATCATATGTATGGTTATTAATAAATGTTAAACTTAAAATTCAGTAAGATTAGAAACCAATTCAACAGCCACAGCCACATTTCTAGTGCTCAATTGCCACAAGTAGCCAGTGGCTACTTGACTGGATAGTGCAGATATGACAGAACATTATTGCCATTGCAGAGAGTTGTACCGGGTGATGCTGATTGGAGTTATGCGGGGACTACTGGTCCCAGCACTAGTCTGTGGTTCTGCAAGCTGCACAGGTTTATTACCAGCACAATATTTTCATTAATATCTGATTTAAAAAAAGGTAAATGAAAATTCTATTGCCTGGTAAGAACGTGTGCTGACTGCTGGATTTTTCACAGAACTCCTATGGGGGAGAATGAAGTGCAGGAGTCAGTCAGTTACTCATTGACATTCGAAAGCACCACTACACCGCTGGCCAGAAATTTTCTCCTTTGAACGCTGAGGCTATGTATTTCAACATTTCATATGTCTTTAACGAATATAGTCTCAGTTTTATTGTAAGATATTTTGACTTTCACATGTCAGACATCAGAGAGAGCTAAATTAAATTTAAGATCAGAATGTCAGATTCAAATTCGGTAGTCCCTGAAAATATACAGATAAATGTTTGTTGGTTCTTGCTTGAAGAATTTAAAGTTATACAATCAACAGTTATGTGCCTTTGGTAAGCTTTGCATTCACTTCACACAATTGTAGGGATATTTTGAGAAAGATGCTCAGTACTTAGGGTAGGCAGTGGCCTGGGCCATTGCTTACACAGTACTTAAAATTCAATGAAACTGAAAAAGTCATATTTACCATAATTTCTTTTAGTATCCTATTTTCCTAGAAAACTGCTTAGGGGTGGAAACTCCAAAGGCCATGCCAAGTAGACACAGCTGGCTAAACGTCCCTCTAAGGCTCTGAGGTCTGTAACATCAGGGCTTTTGTTCCACCCAATGCTGGATTTGACTGTACTGTTCTCAGAGTTCAGCTTCTCCTCTAAATCCATGACCAATATTTTGAATATGTGCCAAATTATTAGCCTGTTTTGGGAATCTCATATGTCTTAACCTGGCTGGTTCTGCCAGAAAGCATAGTGTTTAAGAGCTCTGAATGTCGAGTGCATCACAGTACTGCTTTAGGAAATCTTCTTTTCTTTTAGTCTCAGTTTCCAAAATGGTAAAATGGGATTAGAGTAACATTGACTTTGTGGAATCATAAAGATGAATGGGAAAATACCTACAAGAACTCAGTACTGGAATAAAACAAATGATCAATAAACTGTTTTTATTTTTCCATTTAGTTGTGGTAAAAGTGTGGTCCTGTTTTGTGGAATACTCTGAGAATGATATTGAGGATCCTGTTTTTGAGATTCAGAGAGGTATATTTATGGCAGCTTTTCCAAAGTTTCTCCTTCCCTCTTCTCTCCCCTCCCCTCCTCTTCTCTCTTTTCTCCTTTCCCTCCCCCACCCTCACCATTGGAAATCTGCTATAAAAGCAACATTGAGCAAACTTGAAAAAGACAAAGAAACCTATTTAAATCCAATTATTTTAATTTTTTCATTGTTTTCAGTTCTCGGTCAGGAGAACACACACATACAAACCTCACAAGCATATTTTACCTTATTTGCTTTTAAAAGTCACCAGTCTAACTTTATGGAGTTTCTGAATTAACATAGTTAGAAGTATTCAGATATAGCGAATGGTTAGCAAAGACAAAAAAAAAATTCATTTCAAATTTTATCTCCCACTTCTCACTTTAGTTAAGTTATAATAAGGGGTACTACCTCTGAAGAATGGTTTAATATTAACAATTTTTAAAAAATATTATTGCATGTCATCTGACGTTTTGATCAGGAAATGATAAATCCAGGTGTTAAAGCACATGGGAGTGTGGGCTGTGGGGTCAAAATCTGGGAATGCACCTTAAAGCCTTTCCCTTCATGCTCAGCGCTTTGGCCGGACAGGAATCACACCCGAATGTGCTCTCATCTAGATGGAATGGGCAGCCCTGCTCTCCACCCGGATACAACAGTGTACCATGAGGAGGGAAGGCACCACCCAGTGCAGCATAAGTGGTTATTTTGCTTTCTCCCACTTCTCTGCTTTGTTCCTCCTCCATTTTTCTCCCTGCAGTCCTTTATTCTCTAGACAGAAGAGTTTAACTATAACATTTGTTTATTTGAGCCTGCAAGCAATGTACTAGAGGTTTTCTTCCAAACAAATATAATATTTCCTCCCGGAGGAATTCCATTGAATTTAATTTTCTCCATTCCATTGGTCTTAGTTATAATAATGAAGGTGAAATGTTATAATTTCACTGATTGAACATATCTGTATGGTTAACTTTCAAATAAATTAGCCTTAATTTATTCCATTTGGGAAGCAATTCTTATGTCTTCAACGAGACTGTGGCTGCTAGAAGAAGAATTGTCCTAGTGAGTGGAAGGAACCTAGACTGCCAGATGGAGCAAGGATACTTGTTGAAGTCTGAGTCCTGCGGGATCTGACCTTTGTGTACAAAATAAAAGGAGAAAGGAGGAAAAACTTAAAGCAAGGACAGACTTTATTTAAAATAAATATCTCGAGGGGTCCTTGGCTCTGAAATACCAAAAGCAGCCCTCCCTTACACAGTAAAGGTTTATAAGGTGTTGTGGGAAATTAGGAGGCTAAGGACCTGCTATTCTCTGATTGGGTCTTTTGAGTCTGTGTTCGCCGGTCCCATCTCATGTTTGTGACAGGTTTCCTATTCAAAAGGCTGAATGCCCCCTGATCTGGAAGGTTTTGTGCATTAAACAGATTTAATTGGCTTCCTAATTATGGGGCACAGAAAAATGTGGGTAAGGGTTACAGCTCATGGAAAAACGTTCACTGACTTTTTCTTTCACCTCTCCTGTGTCTCAGACTCTTATTCTTGACCACCACCTCCCCCGACAGTTCTCTCTTTTTAGTCGTATAAACACATCATGGTCATTTCTATTCTGGCTTTTCCTAAAATAATTGCCTGATAATTTTCTCTTTCAGGAAACTGTAGTCCAGTCACTGGGTCTCTGCTTAATGCAGTTTTTCCAGCGAGTTCTCCTCTGAGCCCATAAATATTAATTAAGCTATTTTTTTTCCTATAACTCACCACACGATCATCCCATTTTCCTTTATATCAGTAACTACAATGTGACGATTTATATTTATTTGTGTGACTATTTTTGTAATGTTTATATTTTATAGATCCTCATCTCTGCTGTGGTGGAGACAGCTAGCCTGTTGGTGGTTGAATTCCTAATAGGTGGCTATAGGAATAGTTCCTGATTGAAAGACTAAGTGAATAAATGGGAAATGTAAAAGTGTTAGGTATTATGTTTTTGATTCCAATTTGCAAGTGTGGTCCATATGAGGTTAAATGTCAGATAATCATTTTGTTCTTGTTGTTTGATATAGTGCTTTTTCCCTGAATCATTTGATCACTGCCATGAATACAGTGACAAGTACTAATGGGCTCAATTTATCTATTCAGGTAGTACAAAATTGCAAATCAGACAAAAATATTGCCCTTAGAACTCTATAATAGTTTATTCTCACCAGATTTTATCATCAGGGCATTGACAGTTATTAGTTTCAATGAAATGGCTTTCTCCACCTTCACATACACTAATGAACTTGAAAGAATTTTTCTATCTTGATGTTTTTAAAACCCTATTTCCAGGTCTTAAAGGAGAGGTCGGTGATATGGGGATTCCAGGGACACCAGGAGTCATTGGGCCCCAAGGCCCAAAAGGTCACAAAGGAGAAAAAGGTAAGTAATTTATTTTATTTCATGTCAAAACTCTAGTAATATTCTATATGATTTATCAGGAGAGTAATTGTCTAAGTAAATACTAGATTCTTAAAGTTGGGTAAAATTGTAAAAATATTAAGTACTTGGTGAAACATTGTGAATTAGTCTGATATGAAAATGTTTACAAATAGCCAATTGAGAAATTTTACACTTATCAGGGAATCTCTCTCTCTCTCTCTCTCTCTCTCTCTCTCTCTCTCTCTCTCACACACACACACACACACACACACAC